TTGTTTGGATTCCCTTCATAGGTTCAACCAAAAAAACACCTCGTCGTTTGCCCGATACACGCTGGTGCTTCAAGCGGCACAAGGGCCTGCCAACATCTAGAAACCAACTAGAGGAAGTCCTACAGGAAACCCCTGATTTTGGTGGGAATTTGGCTAGTTTCCTGTAGAATTTCCTGTAGCCGGTGTCTATGACAACAGTGGCGATGATTTTTGTTGGGGGGGGTGAAGCCGGTTCAAGAGCCAGTCTATGGTTCCCGTCCGGGCAACCACAAGGCTAGATCCCCCAGTAGTGCCCTTTTACCGTTTCTTTTTTGGGGGAGGGTTCCCCCTTATTCTAACCTCTCTACAGGAGGACCTAGAAGGAGATTGTTTAAACCACTGGGCTTGTCTTTTTTAAGCCCCAAGATTACGGTTTTCCTATTGATTTCCCTTCAAACCAACCCCAAAAAGGGTACCCTTAAAAGCACTCACACACAAGTGTTGTTTACCACATGTTGCTACCAAGGGCTGGCCCAACCCTCTGGCAGAAAGGCTTGATTGTTGGGTTCCTTCACCCAGTAAACAATACATCAGAACTTGTATGACACTCAGGTCTTTTTGTTGAAGGTACGGCATGGTTGGTGGCTTGAGAGGGAAGCCAAGAGGGAAGCCAAGAGGGAAGCCAAGAGGAAATCCGCAATTTTGGGTGGTCTCCGACAAAAGATACTCACACACGTTTGTAGCAGTTGCAAGCAAAGCAAATCGACCTTTGTTGACCTTGCCGTTTGTAGTCGTGGGACCCCAAAAGGTGAACCGTAAAAAAAATGTGTGTCCTGGCGAATGAGAATCCTTTTGAGCCACGTCCTCAAAACCCGGGTAGATGAAGGCAAGTAAGGGAGAATCCCAACCATAAATAGCTTCGGATATCCGCCTTCGGAATTCTTTACATGGTTCTGGGTAGACCATTTTAATATCGGGTTTTGATTATGGCTCATTCATAAGCAACCACAGGGTGACTCATTTGATTAATACAGGGTGACTCGTTGACTCAGGTGACTCATTTGACTCATTTTGTTATGCCTCATTTGACTCATTGATTTGGGTGTGGCTCAAAATTAATCAGCAAACCGCAGGTTTTGGTCCATGTTTCCACTTACCAGGGTGTCCATTTTGGAATTCCGGTGTTTTGAGCCACAGCCATTATACAAAATCAGCAAGTGGTTGCCCCTCCCCTCGCGAGTTTCCCTCCCAGGCCCACGGAGACCGCCTTCGTGGCGGCGATTTCGGCCGTCAGCCCCAGTGAAGAGCTTTGGATGTGGCGGTCTCAAACGCTGAACCCCGGTTCAGGGTTGTTGGGAAACTTTTTGCATGTTTGCTTATTGTGGTTTAGTGGTTGAAATCCAACCACTTAACTGCTAAAATTTGAATTTGTGCTCCCCTTTCAACGTCAACCAAGGGTCTGCTTCCAGCTGAAATTCATCATGTATGTCTATGTCTATGTGCATGGGTCAATAAATATGTGTGTGGGTCAAAAATAGGTACCACAAATGGGTTGCCCTGGGAAGTGGGAAAAAATATGAACCAACAACCTCCCCTGGTGGTTTAATTTTGACCCATACCCAAATGAATATGTGATATTTTCCCCTGTTGGTTGAAAAGGGAGTCTATCACCACTGGACAAGGGGGCTTAAGCAAGTGGTTGGTGTCAAAAGGGCAGCCGAAAGGAGGCATGCTACTATGTAGTATTTTGAGAACCACCCATTTGGACAATAGCGGTTTAGAATCGTTTGAACAAGGGGTTGCTATGAGTTGTTTCCTTTCGACTCTGCTTAATTGTCGGCTGAGAATAAGGCTCGACGCCCTCAATGAGCACAATCATGTTGGCCACTTGTTAGATAGGGTTGCTACATTTTGAGGGGTCCTGAGATTTTCTCAATAGGGGTTCGTCCGACAATTCGTCCAAAGAAACAACGATCACCCGCCCCTTCTCAACGACCAGCCCAACGGGTATGCTTTCTTTTCTCAGGTACCTCGTTCTCAAGGAAACCAAAAGAACACCAGGTGTTTTTTAATGCAAGCCACAAGGACCGCAACAAAAAAAAGAAAGAAACAAACTCATCCTGAGATGGGTTTGTTGAGTTGCTGGCCGTTGGGAACATTTTCAAGGGTGGAGGGTACCTCTGGTACCTCCATTTGCTGAAATGAATATATTTGTTTTCCCTTGTTGGTTTTAAAGGGAATCTATCACTACTGGAAACCTTTCTATGTTTTCCAGGGAACTTAAGCAAATGGAAGGTACTTTGATCCCTTTGACCAGACTCAACCATCTGACTTGCTGTTGGTGGCGAGATGCTGAACTACTTAGGCGTCCTCGAGACAAACTGCCATCCTCAAAGGGTATCAAGAGATCATTTGGTCTTTTTTTGGAATTCCCCCCGAATTTCGAGACACAGCGCCTGCCTGCTTTTTCGGCTTCTAAAGTAAATGGATTTGCTTTGGGTTCATGGCCCAGGTTTAATGT